CTTTAAAGATAATAACATTTCAAATTAAAAATAACGGTAAAAACAGCAAATCAGTATTCGTATATTACGATACATTAGCACGCCCCCTGTTATGAAAATTCGAAACTATTATAGACGCGTATGATTCTTTTCAAAAATTAAACAATTTTTCCATTGCAGTAAAGACATTAAAAATTGTTTAATTTTTGTAAAGAATCATACGCGTCTATAATAGTTTCGAATTTTCAATATTCGTATATGTTTTTACCTGTCCTCTAAACTCTCTTCATAATTTCTTCAAATAACTTCACCAGGAATTCCTCAAAATTTTTATAAGCAGAACAACCAAAGGCAATAGAAGAACAGTGTCTTTCCTTACAGATCAAATTGATAAAGTCATCTAGAAGTTTTATCATTGATGAATCAGGAGTTACTCCCTTTACATTTTCTTTTTTTCAGTTGTTGTTGTTGTTGTCGTGTCCAATGAAAAGCCTCAGATGTCTCCATGCATCTTCATCACAGCAGCAGCAATGTCCACTATCTTGGGTGTGTAAAGCTGCTGCTCTGGGTCCTTGTCAATTTTCTGCAAGGCTGCGGCCATTGCTGAGCATGAGAACTTTATTGCAGTGTATGGCCAATAAGAAATCACAACTTCAATTTGAAGAAAGAAATAGTTTTGAAAATAATTTGTTGATTAGAAGTGTTTGTTAGGAAAAATATATGGCTACATCAACTAATTTTTTACTTAGTTTCCGATGTTTCAGTGACTCGATGTCACTTTCCTTAGGGGAATAATATCTAAAACATCGGGAGAACTAAATAAAATGTTGAATAAATCTACACATATAAAATCATATTTATATGTAATTATACTGTCAATAAGCTTATGTCTATAGTTTATTAAAAACCATTTCTAAGATTCCACCATTCAATGTATTATATATAAACAGAATGATCCAATACAGTATTAGAGCTCTAGGAAGCGGTCTGTTGGATTGGATTGACCGCTGGGAAGATTCACCACTAATTATCTGCACTCAATCATATTAGGGTATGAAGCTTTGACAACCATCATGACTAGGTGAAGTAGAATGCATCTGCCTTTGTTATTAAGACTGGGAACACTACTCAGTAGCAGGCCGACTTAGCTCCAAAAGAAATGGCCGCCTCTGACATGAGGAACAGACGTCATGTGTAGCCGCTCCTAACATGGAGTACAAACACTGCTCATTCTGTATACCTGGATTAGGAGCCCTTACAGGGTACTATCAGCCGGGCCAGCTGAGCCCAGGTTTTTTAGTGAGCTTGTTACTGCCTCCCTCTCCTCCTTTTTCATCCGGGCTTGGTTCCGGCAAAGGAGAAGTTGAAAGAAATAGCGATTAAACAGAATCCCAATACTTACTAATATCATATTTATGATAGACTAATGATCCAGTTGTTCACATCGATGAAGTCATTACGCACACAATGCTACTTTCGCCATTACCATTTGTAAAAAAGAAGCAGGACAAAGGGAACAAATTAAGAAAAAGATTTTCTACCTCCAGGCTATGTCTTTGAGTATTTTAAATGAGAGTGAAAAGAACCTTTTAGTATAGCTTCTTTAACTACGCTGAAACCACGGGGTAATATATTGCTAGTGTTTTTCTCAATAGTTTACATCAAATTTCACATTCTGAAATTATTTTAAATCTTTTGCATTAAACTGAATAGCCTTGTGTATGATTTTACTTATCTGAATTAATACATATATAAGAAATATAAACTATTTTTGACGCGTAAGATTATTTTCGATATAAAACAAATTTCTACTGCCTTTACTGTAATTTATTTCAAAACGAATCATAGGCGTTAAAAATGGTTTACATTTCTTATAACAGATGGCTCGCTAATGCATAATATTAATACTTATGCATTTTGCACATTAGCAATAGGGAAATTAATATATATATATATTTTTTATATGCATATATTGCAATTGACATGCACTCATGGATAAACAATAAGAAAGTGGAAAGTCTCTGATGTCGCCGGTTGCCTGATTTTGAAGGAGATAAGGCAATTTTGTTCATGCTGGGTTATCTCGTATGTCTTCAATAAAAATCACTGCAATAACTTTCAGAGTTATTGTCTGAATACCGATATACATGATAAAAGGTACAACTTCCTTAAGTTTTGTTCATAAGTGGATATCTACAAAGGAGAATATTCAATTAAATAAAAGAAAATAATATTGGTGATTCATTGAATTAGAAAATTGAAAGCAGCATGCACACATAAGTGTATCTATAAGAATAAATAAGTATAATATTTTCACTATTATTATTTTTAGACCTATGCAAATAATTTCGTTTTATAATTACATATTCAATGTAAGTGATGTGTATCTACACATATAGAATCATATTTATATGTAATTCTACTGTCCTAAAATATTATGGCTATAGTTTAGTTAAATACCATTTCCAAGATTCCACCCTTCAGTGATATATAAACAGAATGATCCAATACAATATTAGAGCTCTGAAAAAGCGGTCTAGTAGATTAAATTGGCGAAACCGCTGGAAGTATTCACCACTGATAAGCCAAGCCCTCCTAATATATTTTTCATCTCAGTAAGAATAATAGAAGTGTGTTTCATGTTTAAAAAAACTTTTTTTTATATAGAATCAGTTTGACTTTGGTGATTACACGGAGCCAAAATTAGGTTTGGTTACTTGTACTCAGTATTGAGTTGGAGTTGTGTAACAAAATGAGTTCAGGACCAGAGTGCTGGTTAAAGCTTAGCCACTGAACCACTAGACATCTCTCTATTATATCTAGTTTATATCGAAAGGTAAAATGATTCAAATTTATAAATGCAGTGTAACTTTGTTATGTCGAGGTAATTCTTAAGCTAAAAAACGACATACACTAATGGACAAAATTTTAAAAAGTTGTACCTTTTAGCATATATATCTGGATTTAGACAATAACTCTGAAAGAAATTTGATACACAGTGACCTTTATTGAAGACACACGAGATAACCAAGTGTGAAAAAGTCAGAAAAATAGACAACTAGCGACATCAAAGACTTTCCACTTTCTTAAGTTTTTTCCATGGGTGTATAAACAGGATAGCGTTATACAGGCCTCTTATTCTTTACAATCTGCCATAGGATAGTGGCAGTAGTATTCTTATGTCTTCCCAGAACTTTCTTTTTCCATAAACATACTTTTTTGATGAGATAAAGGGTGGTCTTCTCCTGACATTTTCCATGAATTCCATTCTCTGCTTGATTCTACTCAGCCTTCCCCCAAACCTCCCGCCAGTAATACCATTCAACCACTCCGAGTGCGTACAAGATGTCCAAATATCAGACCAGGGGCAAGAAAAAAAATTGCAATAAGCGGGATATCGTTATAACAAAGTTCTACGTCCTCAATTCACATGTACGTGCATCATTGGCAGAATATTTTACAGCAGAGTCGAAAGTTTACTAGTGCTAAATTACTTCAATAGAGGACGTTATTCGATAAAATAATCCCTTGAATCTATATTAAAACAAGAACATTAAGTCTCCAGGGAAAAGCCACCGAAAGCTTGAGAGATTTTAAAATAAAATAATATTCTTAAAAAAAACTTTCCCTGAAGGCTTAATGTTCTTTTTTTAATAGAGGACGTTATATAAATTGACCAATAAAAATAGCTTCCTCTATGTGAAGGTAAAATTCAGGGTTTTCTCACTATGTGCAATTCTCAACCTTCAACCCCAAACCACAGCATTAACTGTATTGACTGATCCATTAATGAGCTCTACCCATCCCCAGCAGACACCATCAAAAGTCAACAACAACAACAAAACAAAAAGCTTTATTAAGACCTTTTAGTCTTATACAGATTCTCCGAGCACAGAAATGTAAGATACATACAGGAATAACAGTAATAGTACCAGTAATGTTATTATTATTTTTAAAGCTAATCACATAAAGGTAATATGATATTTATATCCAGGAAACTTAAGGCAATCAAGCTAATAAATAGATTAATCTGGGTAAATTGGAAGGAAAGAAATTTCTTATACATGGATTTACTCCGGAGTCTCTGCAAGTGAAATACCATCAAAGTTCTAAAGCTCTATAATCTTGATACCCTGATATTATTGAGTAAGGATAAGAAAAAAGAAGACGATACATGGTCAAATTACAAATTACCAGGTTTACAAGACACAATAGCAAGCACTCATCCCAAATAATTATAGTTATCATTAATAAAAACAAAAACACATTTTCATTTCAATTAGATTTTTCTTAAATGATAGGGAAGTGTGGTTCATTCATTGCCCTTTCCTTTTTTTATATAATAAATACTTTCCTGGAGGTATTTTTATAACTTGAAGGTAGTAGCCGGTAATTGAAAGTTAATTCCAGGAATTATCAGAGTTAATAGAAGGTTAGGATAAATACTGTCATATATGGTCAAGACAATTAAACTTTGTGTCAAACTGATTATTCGCATTGCCTTTTTATACAACAATTTTTAATCTCTATTCATGATAAAATTATGAAAAACTTTTAAAATTACAAAATATTTCATCACAAAAAGTTTCTTATTATTACAAAACGCTAGTTTTCAAGTGATAATCGCTCTTCAACGGTCTTAATAAAACATCGACTATATCTTACAAGAAATACGTATTTACAAATACATACGCCCGCAGCGCGGATATTTACAACTGAAATTTTAAAATTGAAATGTAATTTAACAATGTTATGGAATATGTCTATTTACATTTTAA